CAGCAACAACAAAAAAAAAAAAAAAAAAAAAAAAAATATGGTGAAAACCTGTCTGATTTTCTTTGAAATATATATAGTTAAAACGAGGAATATATATGCATATGTGTAAATAATAATATTTACAGTACAAGTATTGTCCTTGCCAAACTGCCCAAGATATTGCGATATATAAAACGAGCCTATTCTACTTGCACATTTTTATTACTGTATATATAATATTTAACTGTCTTCTAAGCTAGCATAATTTTTCCTTCCTTTTATAAGACTAAACTAGAAAAACTGGAAGAATTTTTTTCGGGTGCACTTTTAACTAAATTGCGATATTTAGAAGCTTGAATTGCTGAAAAAATCTTTTTCGCCAGATTTAATTCTAACTTGATGCAATTCATCAAATTTTTGGTTTATTCAGCTAAAACGAGTTAACTGTATCGTTCAGATAACAGAGAAACTCTGCTAGCAAATAGTTTTTTTTTACTTTTATTAGACTAAACTAATGAAAAACTGGAAGAATTTTAAGAATCACGAAATTCGCGGGTTTGCACTTTATTAACGGCTGATTTGATAGACGAGATTTGCTATCTTACAGATGAATCAAAATCTGTAAATCAACAAGAATAAATTAATTTGATAATATCAAGCTTGAATTTAGATATTGTGTTAAATTTTTGCCTATTTTGAAAGATTTAATTCGTTTTATTAAAACTTTATACTCAAATCACTTTTTTTCGTTGAGCAATTTAGTTTTAAAAAATTTTCTGTTCTTGTAACTTATGATGCCCGCCTTTATTAATCACTTCCATTCGAAACGTCGATTTGAGTTTAAACGCTTTCGTTTTAGACGGGATTTTATCTTACAGAAAATGTGTTTTAAATTTTCAAGTAAAATAACACTAGCAATTTAATTGAATTCATCATAAACATAATTTAAAAAATACCAAATTATAACTATTTATTTTTGAAATTCATTTAAATATTTTTAAATATTTTTATAATTGCAACTTTTGACCCTTAGTTTCGTAAATTATCGCAGCTTTTTTCTTTTTCTTTTTGAACACAGTGGTTATCTAGAATTCTTTTTTCGGCACAATTTTCTTCTTCTAATAAAGTTTGATTTTTTTACTTTTCATTTTTTACATTAAATAATTATTGATTATAAAATCCTAACTTCCCTTGCTTTTCCACATTTTCGAAGTGTTTAACCTATTTTAATCCCTGTATTTAATGATGTCAAGAGTTACTTACTGTTGAATTTAATGCTTGGTTTTTCCCAAATCTCTCTTTTTCCAAATTTACTGAATATTTTTTCTGTAATATTAAAACTTTTTAAAATTATCTGTTTGAAGTCGTCTTTCGCGTATTCTAATGTTTTTTCCAAAAGAAATGTGTGTGCAGTGGTATCTAATTAGGTTAGTTATTTTTTTTCCTTTTTCCTTTCTCTGTTACATTTCAAAAGAAAGTCGGTAAAATTATTTTATCACCGATGAGTTGTTGTTATAGTGAGTTAGAAGTAAATGCTTGAGTCTTTTCAAACACCTAGGTTTTCTGCGTTTGTCAATAACTACTGTTGTTTTCTTAATACCAATAGTTAGGTCCATATTGCACGTTAAACAGTAGCTGAATCCTTCAGTTTTTTAAACAAACTGCTGTTTCACTTTTAAATATTAAAAGGTTTTCCGGCAGTGCTCTGTAATTCAGTCCAGTTCCATCTATATTACAAATTTCGAGTGGCCTCTATTAATTTAGCAGCCCCACTAAAACGCCTCTTGTTAAGTTATCAATTTTTATCGTCTTTTGTCCAGTTATGATAATCCACCTTTTTTCTCATTCTCAGCATGCAATTTCTCATGAATAATGGCGGATTTCCATGTTTCTAACCCGATATTACTGAGATATGTTAGTTGATATAAAATCCTCTCCTCGGATTTTTAGAATTAGTAGAAAAAAAAAAAAAAGGGGGGGGGGACTAGAAATAGAAAAATTTTTTAGCCTTATGACTTAAAAACATTTTAGAAAAGACGCTTCAACGTCTCTCGATTTTCTGTCTCTTTTGCTCTTTTTGAGACATTTTGCAGTTTTTATTAGCTGTTCATTAATTAAAAATTTTCGTTTAAGTAAACTGTCCAATTTTGTTAAGAAAATTCCCAGTTTTAAATGTAGTTTTTCTATGGCTGAAATTACCAAGACCATTAAATCCTTTAACAAGTTATACTTTTCTTTCAGGCTTAATTATCTTCGTTTGGCATGTCGATAATTTGAGTACAATAAATTTTAAATAAAATAAAATTTTTAAAAAAGTTTCTTCTAGTAATTTATTCAAATTTCAAAATTTCGTTTCTAGCCAGCAGAAATATTGGCCTTTGTCTGTTTAGTCGATCTGCCACTTCACGAGTACAGACATGACCAATGCTTTTTCTTCACTCTACAGTTACCACTTCCTTTCCATTCAAAGACTCATCATTCATATACCGTAATGCTTAGAAGCATTTTATGAATTTTTTATAACTCTTTGTGAACATAATGTATCTCTTTCAAGCGGAAGATTTTGAATGGGAAAACCTTAAAAGATGGTATACAGAAATTACATTTCTACCTTATTTTAGGTAAATTTCAAGAAGGTTTTTATTTTATTTTAGGTATTCAAGAAGAAACCCTCTCATTTACAATGCCTCTAGAGATTTGTTTTTGTTAAGCTTAAGATAAGGAATTTCTACCGGTCTGAAGTCCATTATGGACAAAAAACTCTACTCTGAAAAGTGTTTCACATGTACAGGGAATGAAGGGTAGGAAAATTTCGGTCAAACTCATTTTATTAAAGCGCTACATACCTGAATGATAAAGCCACAGTCCACGATAGGTTAAAGGGATGAATTACGAAAAGCTTTCATAAATACAAGCCGGATATTCTGGCACTGAAGAGGCCCACCAGCGCTGAACACTGGTCGTTCCAATCGAGGAAAAAGTAAGTCGCTGAACACTGGTAAAGTCGCTGAACACTGGGTAGTTCGAATCCCGCGAACGGGCTGGCTGCATGGGCGTTTTCGTGGTTTTCCCCATGTGTAACGTGTATACGAGTCAGTTTCCCTTAGAAAGTCCTCCACGAGGGCATTCCACCCCTTAGGCAGATAGCCCTAGTGTGCTTTGCCAAAATTAAATAAACCAAACCAAACCAAACTAGCACTGAAGAATCAGTCTTTTTGGCCAATTTGAGCTAAATAAGCAGCGGAGATGAGTTTAATGAACGGCAGTTTTTCTATTTATTAATATGTATTTGTTTGGTTCCTGAAAATTTGAACGTAATAAACGGCTGAGTTTGTTAACCAGTGAGTTTAATAGACGGTACAGAGTACTGTATAAGTTTCTGGGAAAATAAGCTTCTTTATTGCGCACGCAATAATTTTCAAGGCTATCTCTACAACTTAACGATGGTTGAACCATGATCAAATTATCTTTTATTATAATAACCTGGTATCAAATTTGGAAATGTTTGTAGTTTGGTCTCTTTAATAAACAAAAAATCTCTAGCAATTTTTTTTTTGCTCTGTTGTAGCTAATGTGATATCCAAGATTCTTCATAAAATTTTCATTTAACGATACTCTCTCCCCACCCACTAGTATTGTCCTGAATTCAGTAGTAACAAGAAAAAATAAATAATCTATCATCTGTCTCTTACAGTTCAAAAGCTAAGATACATTTCTGACTGGCAAACAGAGTTAAACTTTAGAAAGGAGGAAAATTAAGAGAACATCTGAACCTGTAAAAAGTTTGTCCTTTCACTCTTTTAGGGCTACATTTTGGAGCAAATTCAATGGCTGAAAATGTCCGGAGAACTGTTAGAAATTTTCATTACATGATAGGGAACAAAAAATGTCAGATTATTGCAAATAAATGTATAATCTATTAGCTTCTATTAGTGTTTTTCTCTTGAGAAAATTAACAGTGTGAAAAATATTGATTGCTGACGGGTTAAAAAAGCAGCATGTTCAACTCTAGTAAAAATTTTGAATTGAAAATATTATGCTATGAAATATAAATCATTGATAACCTAGAGTCGCTTGTGAATTGAGTACCACTGAAGCTGAAAAGCTGAAATGTTATTGATTAATTTATTATAAAAAAAATACAACTAGAGCATATAAAAAAAAAAAAAAAAAAAAAAAAAAAAAAAAAAAAAAAAAAAACAAGCTTTTACTAGAGTAAAGGCTTCAGGATAATAGAATTTTCCCAAAGTAGCTGATGTTTCAACCCTTTCAAACATACCGATCTAGATTGTTTGGATGATTATTTTCTAATAAAGTAGTAACAAAGACTCGCTTGTTACAAAAAGGGTAGGGACTATACAATGAATTGTAAACCTCTGTTATCTCACTTCCAAAAAGTACGATTTAAAATTGCAATGATTCCAGCAGCTCCTGAATATCTTTTGTTCTATTACGATGTTTTTAATTGCAGGCACCGGGCATACGGTTCAACTTAGTTCTCAAAGTGGAAGATCGCTCTGTTATTAACTCCAAGGGAGATTTCATGTGTTTCATGAGCGGGCACCATAACGAAGCTGGGCCATAACCTTCCAACCAAATACTTCCGCCCCCTCTCAGAACCCTGTTCTCTAACTTTATTCGCCTAATTTAAACGCAGTTACATCTCCGCATTCTGAACGCTTCGGAGAGCAAGATAAAATAGAATAAAAATCAAAAAAAAAAAAAAAAAAGTGAACAAAATAGTCACAAAAGCTTCTCTCAGAGCGAACGTATAAATTAAACTTATTTGCAATAATTTTTCTCGACTTTTCCTTTTATGCGGCTTTTCGCTAATTCGCTTTCTGCCCCGTGTACTCCGGAACGTAATGGTATGAAGGGGGAAAAAAAAAAGTAAATAAATGAAGCAAAAGCAGAGCCTCCGGTTGGAGGTTGGTGGCGTCGCATCGCTGGGCGGGGACCCACCGCTCCAAATCCTTCGCCAATTGGAGAGACCAGAGGGGAGACGCGAGGAGGCGGAGCGCTCTTCCGGCAGGATGGTGGGAGGGTGGAGATGTGTTCGCAGCGGAAGTGTCGCTGCCGATCTCTGTAAACAACGGCCAATGGTCTCGCGTGCGGGTTTGCTCACGGCAAGGGTGGACGCTCGGACTCTCGATGGACCCTTTAAACGACTCTCTGTGTCTTCAGGACTTGGTAGGAGGCCTCCAGCAACAGCCGCACCACGAGGCGGCTATGACTTCACACATGGGCTCCCTAGTTGGGCCTGTGCCCGTCCCCGCACAGCCACTCACTGTATGTTCCTCCTTGCATGCGATGACACATCACAGGTTGGACAACAACGCTATGAGCATGCACGGACAGCCACCTTCGACGGGAAGTGACCATAAGAAAAGAGGTGAGTTTGTCTGATCTTGTCCGACACTTAGGACAGAAAAGTTTCTTTCAGAGAATTTCGAACAGAAAAATTTGATTTATTATTACTTTCTTTAAATTTATTTTGTAGAACAACAGAGATACTGTCTTTAAACTACGTTGCTGTAAAGTTCTTTGACGCGTTGGACTAACTGCATTATTAAAATACTTTGTTTAGCCATCATATTGTTTGTCATGAAATTCTTAGAATTTCAACATCTGTACTGCAAGAGTTTCGTGTCAGATTCCTGAGCAATATATATAATAAAAAAAGTGATTTCCTATTTAATACCCTAATTTTTGGAGTAAAACTTAGTAAACTGTAAATATATTGAGATGGCAATTGTTAATATTAAAGGGGTAAAAATTCCAAGACGATTTTCTTCCAATGTTTTTTATGTTAAAATGCGTTTCAAACATAATACTTGGCACATAAGTATGAAACATAATACCAAAAGGGGAATGTAAACGTGCCAACTTACATTGTCAGCTTTCTCAATTTATTCGTGGTCTGTTTTTCTGAAAGATATTCTACCTTGCGTTTTAAGCAAACTATGAATACAGTTTTTATTTGAAAAATTTTCACATTGAGCTTTGTTTCACTGAGTTATATTTAGACTTTTCTGAGATTCCCACCTAAATTTGAGACTGCTTCGAAATTATGAGGATAATTATTCGAATTTAAAACATTAAATTACTGATTAATAAAATGCGCGACATAGCGCAGTTTTTAATGCTAATTTTAATTCCAATTTTAATTTTAATTTTTAATTCCAATTTATTTTGAGTCCTCCATGTAGACATATATACCTCATTTACTTTGAAATAATCAAATTAGCAAATTTTCCATTTTTTACAATATAAATATAATTAAATAATTTAAATTAGATTCTGACTACATATTTAATTGAATAAAAATGTTTTCCTCGAAACTTTGAAAAAAAATTAATAATAAATCATTTCACTTTTTTTTTCTTCTTAAAGCATACATAAATTAAAATATCCTACTAATTATAATTTAATTTCTGTCAAACTACTTTCTTTTTAAAATACCTTCTCAACTGTCTTTAGCAGAAAAATTATACTTCAGTTCTAACTATCATGTTTCCAGCAGAAGCTGCTGGTCTTCGTTCATTGTAGCATTCTTAGCGCGTAGTTAGACTTGTTTACAAGAAAATTATGACTGTAAAGAATAGAACTCCTTTATGAAATTTAATATATGAATATTATATTTAAACACTTTTTCATAATGACTTTGCAAATTATACTAAAAGGTGTTTGGTGTATTTAATTATGGCAAAGCACACGAGGGCTATCTGCCTAAGGGGAGGGGTGCCTTCGTGGAGGACTTTCTAAGGGAAACTTCCAGTTTCCCTTAGAACCAGTTCATGTGTATACACGTTACACATGGGAAAACCACGAAAACGCCCATGCAGCCAGCCCGTTCGCGGGATTCGAACCTCGGACCGAACTACCAGAATTATACTAAAAGAGAATTTTACCAGTTAATCCAGTTAAACATACAATAAGATCAACATGATAACTATGAAGAAAAATTAATGTAAGTAATTGAAAAGGAATGAAAATAGGTAGCCATAAACATGGAAGCTCAAAAAACGATAGAAATACTAGACGATTTTGGAAGGATTTTAAGCAAACAATGATGCTTTGTAATAGCGGTTTCCACTACTTTTCCCTTTCGCACACATCTTAAATAAGATAAGATATTTTAATTACCTAACCGTTTCTGCTCTCATCTTCATCAGTATTTCATCAATATATCCTACTATTGTGTTATTTTAATACCATAGAATTATTAAACTGCAATGGATAAGGTCAAGAAAATGTAGTCAAACAAATATTAATCATTACACTATTTATTTCAAATGAACAATATGAAAATATATATTTTTAAATCAAAGCATAATATTATATGTAGTTAGATTAAATATCAGCTTTAGTATAAAGAAAATGAGAAAATGAATTAATTGATTAATTTATCGGCTGTTGATTAAACCTAGGCCTTACTAAAAGTTCTAAGCGTTCTTAAAATAGTGCTATTCTGTCTTAAAATTCTAAATCTTTAAGTTTAAAAGGAATTAATTTATAATTTCATTTATACTAAAATTAAAGTTAAGACTTAATTTGGAAGAAAAAGCTTATAACCCTTACACTTCAATGCAAACTGATAAATACAGAATCATATTGCTTACCTAAACATTAAAAATAAAAATAAATGACAATTATAATAAATTAAAACAACAACTTTAATTAGTCAATGTTGAATTGATGCTCAAATTTGGAGAGGGTTGAGCCTTTTTTTAACCGGAAGTAACATCAAATGTGTTAGGATAATTGTTTTTAGTGCACATTTAAGATGAGAAACCCTTTACATAACTTCCGAATTTGTATATGATACTAAACATTTTAATAATTTTCATTTATTTCTTCATCTCTTGTGTTATTGAAATCCAGAAAGAAATAATGCCTTTTTGTAAAGATGGCCTTGAAAGAGAAAATGAGTTAGTTGAAAGCTCAATAATTTGCTCTCCCATAGAATGATCCAGAAATTAATGTTTGAATGAACTATGGAATATTTTAAGTAGGTTATTATGTTTCTCTTTGAATTCGCATTTAAGTTAAAACCTATTTTTGGATAAGAAACTGTAAAATGTTTAAACTATTTCAGTAGGATTTTTTTCTAAATATTATTTCCAAATAATTTAACTTTTCGATCATAGAAAAACTGCATCTCTACAACTGCTATACTTCTTTTTGCTAACACAGTATAGTATATCAGCTATTCATCTCTTCATATAATGCTCTGAATAGACCGAAATTTATTGTACTGAACTTAATCACGCTCGTTGAATACTTTCTTCAATGACTCGAGTAAGCGCTAGATTTTGTGCATGAATGTAGCAATGACTCCAAAATACACGGGGTGCCTAACATTTACCTGCCTTTGCAAACCTGTACAGCATTCTGCTATAGACTTTCCTAATCTGTACAAAACCTAAAGCAGCTGTTCCAGCTAATAACTTTTTCATAAAAATAATCATTATTGTCATTAAAACTATCCTACCCTGTAATATCTCTCTGTGACGAAAAGTCGAAATATATCGAAGTTTTCACTGTGCAATAAAAAGAAAAATCGCAAGGGTCGATGTATCGATAAATGGGCTATTTCTTATTTCCTCAGTTACTGTAAAATTGATATCATCAGACACATTCTTAATTTTAGAGAAACTATATTACTTGACAAGGAAAAGTTGTTAATTTTTCGAACATATTTTTCTCCGAACATTCATTGAACAGCATCTTTAATACAATCATCTATTGAATCTTTACAACATGGATGCTTATTATCACTCTTGGAGATAACTTGTTGTCTAAGACGATTCAACTGCATTTTCAGTGTCTGCGCTAGTTGATAATAGCTATGAGTTTAGTCTAAGATTTCTAGATAGCCGCTGAGAAAATATTTATTCCTTTTTCTTCAATAGTGAGATGTTTGGTATCTAAATTATGCAACAGTAACGAAAGTTTCATAACTTCTTTTGACAAAACATTCCCTCGTCTGAAGTTGTACTACTTCTGGTCGGCTTACCTCTTAGCAGAGTAACAGTATCATTCTGTCCTCAGCTGATAGACTCGTCAATTCTTTGGAAGTGCTTGGCGTGAGAGAAGAATCTACTAATATTGCTGCGAATACTGTGTGAAGAGCCATTTATCAGCTGCAAAAAATAATACCTAAATGGCTCATTGATGGTGTAGTGATTATTTGGCGTTCCTACGAGCACTATTCATTAATGAAAAGTACAGTGAAATTTTGGAAACGAAGAGGGTAAAAGCAAAGTAAATTTCGCATGAATATTATGTATAATACTTTTAAAAGGCATCAAAATGATGAAACAAGCGTAACTTTTATGTGTTGTAAATATAGTATGAATTTAACTCGAACGTAACTAGTAGTCCAGCTGAGTATGTTGTTAAATCTTCGAAAAGTTGTCTTCATTAATAGTTATTAATAGTTATTAATAGTTATTAGGCTATGTTTTGGATTAAGTTCATGACTATATGAGTTGTTGATAAATACATTACGCATAAATGTATTCTTGTCATTTATTCTTGATTCAGGTAATTTTTCGTAATCGAGAAAGCTGACTATATCAGAAAGAATATAGTTCATGCCGTTAGAATGTTCTTTGTTGGCTTATTGCGATGCGTAAAGAATTGAGCAGTACGACTAGGTGTCTGCTAGGCTAGTTACAACCGACTATCTTATTTTTATAAACATTTCGGCCGGTAACAGTCATAATAGATATCCTCGCATTAAAAAAATGTTTTTTGAGTAAGACTTTCTGAATATTTTTCTTTATTTATCAGCATTTATTATAAAACTTCATGGTTTTCCACCATTACTGAAAATTTCTTCGCGTATTCTTGACTAAACCATCATGTGCCTTATGCCATGTGCCATCAGGCCTCGTGCCGTCATGTGTAAGGATATCACAAGCTGCTTCAGAACTATACATTTTAAGAGCAAATTTAAGAAATACAAAGAGAAACTATGAAAATGTGCTTAATTTTTTTTGATTCGCAAACAATAACAATTGTTTAAAGTTTTGATTTTTATTCGGTATTCCTTTTCATTCTCTAGACATAAAATAAATCCAAGATTGATTTATGAATTCAAAAATGCGAATAAAAACTGTGTTTACTATATTTAACATATTTTAACAATATAAGCAATAAATGTTAAGTGATAGTGTGTAGCTACGTATTAAACTTCTTTTTTCGTCTAACAATATTTTGTTTGTTTCTGAAATCTACCTTTTATGCAATCATTATAAGTTAACGAGTGATGACGTTAAAATTAGAAATTATGTTTTCAGATCAACATTAACATAACGAATAGCGTGTGATAAGAACATTTTTACAACTTGTTTTTACCGTAACTAGGTACAAATGTATTAAATT